AATATAGCTTTATTTCAGTGGTGCATGGCATCTACACAAAAATTAATCATATATTAGGATATTAAAAAAATCTCACAACCAAATACAGAAAAGCAGAAATATCAAATGAATTCTTTTCAGATCATAATACAATAAAAATTACATCCAATAAAAGGTTGTGGATTCATAGATTAAAAATTAATTGGAAATTAAATAAAATAATCCTGAAGAATAAGTGGATCAAAGAACAAATCATAGAAAGAATAAATCAATTCGTTAAAAAAGAATGACAACAATAAGACAACATACCAAAATTTATGGATTACAGCCCAAGTAGTAGTTAGAGAGGGAAATCTTATCTCTAAATATTTACATCAGTTAAATAGAGAAAGATCAGATTAATGAATTGGACATAAAATAAAAAAAAATTAGAAAAGAAAAAAATTAAAAATTCCCAATTAAACACTAAGTTGGAAATCATGAAAGTCAAAGGAGAGATTAATAAAATAAAAAGTAAAACAATTGAACTAATACATAAAACTAGGAGCTGTTTGCATGAAAAACCAATAAAATAGGTAAATCATGGGGTAGTATGATTGCAAAAAGAAAGAAGACAGCCAAATTACCAGTATCAAATCTGAAAAAGGTGAATCCATCTGCAATGAAGATGAAATTAAAGCTATTATTAGGAGCTATTTTGCCCAATTGTATGCTAGCAAACTTGACAATCTAATTGAAATGGATGAATATTTACAAAAAATATAGATTTCTCAGGTTAACATATGAGGAAATAGAATGCCTAAATAACCCCATCTTAAAAAAAGAAATTGAACAAGACATAATGAGCTCCCTAAGAAAAAGTCCCAAACACCAAATGGGTTCACAAGCAAATTCTACCAAACATTTAAAGAACACTTAATTCCAATACCATATAAACTATTTGGAAAAATAGGTGATTTGGAAAAATAGGTGAAGGAGTCCTACCAAATTCCTTTAAAATAAAATATTGTGCTGATACCTAAACCAGGAAGAGCAAAAAGAGAGAAAAAAACTGTAAATCAATTTCCCTAATGAATATTGATGCAAAATTTTAAATAAAATATTAGCGAGGAGATTATAGCCATATAGCACACAGATCATACACTATGACCAGGTGGGATTTTACCAGGGATGTAGGCCTGGTTCACTCTTGGGAAAACTATCAGCATAATTGGCCCTATTAAAAAAACAACAAAAATCATGATTGTTTCAGTAGATGCACAAAAAGCTTTTGACAAAATACAACACCCATTTCTATTAAAAACATTGGAACAGATAGGAATAAATTGATCTTTCCTTAAAATGATAGGTAGTATCTATCTAACACATCAGCAAACAATGTCTGTAATGAGGATCAGCAAAACACCTTCCTAATAAGATTGGAGTGAAGCAGGGAGACCCATTATCACCACTATTATTCAATATCATAACAGAAATGCAAATTGTAGCAATAAGACAAGAAAGAGAACTTGAAGGAAATAGAAGAGGCTATGAGGAAACAAAACCATAACTCTTTGCAGATGATATGATAGTATATTTAGAAAATCCTAGAAAATCAATTTTAAAAGTAGTTGAAATAATTAATAATTTAACAAAGTTACAAGATAGAAAGTAAACTCACATAACTATCAGCATTTCTATATATAATCAACAAAACCCAGATGAAAGAGATAGAAAGAGAAGTTCCATTTGAAATAATTATAGACAGCATAAAACACTTGGAACTCTACTTGCCAAGACAAACCCAGGAACCATACAAACACTGTTACAAAACACTTTTCACAATTTTAAAATTAGACCTGGACAATTGGAAAAATATTAATTACTTCATGTGTAGGCTGAGACAATATAATAAAAATGATAAGTCTACCTAAATTAATTTAATTGTTCAGTGCCATACCAATCAAATTGCCCCAAAATTATTTTATGGAGCTAGAAAAAAATAACAAAATTTATCTGGAAGAACAAAAGATCAAAAATATCAAAAGAATTAATCAAAGAAAAATGTGAACGAAGGTGGCCTAGTTGTACTAGATCTCAAACTGTATTACAAAGCAGTAATCATCAAAGCAACCTAGTACTGTCCAAGAAATACACAACACACAGTAGTGAATGACCATGGTAATTTAGTGTTTGATAAATCCAAATATTCAAACTTTGGGGACAAGAACTTAGTATTTGAAAACCAATGGAAAACTAAAAAACACCTTGGCAGAAATTAGGTATAGGCTAGCTTCTCACACTATTCCTAGATAATGTCAAAATGAGTACATGATTTAAACATAAAGAGTGATATCAAAAGCAAATTAGAGAAGCATGGAATAATGGACCTGTCAGGTCAATGGATAAGGGAAGAATTTAGGACTAAGCAAGAGACATGGAGCTTTAAGATATGTAAATGGATAATTCTGATTATATTAAATTTAAAAGGTTTTATTAAAAAAAAACAATATAGCCAAGATTTTAGAAGGAAGGCAGAGAGCTGGGTTACATCAAGTATCTCTGATAAAGACCTCATTTCTCAAATAGAGAATGGAGTCAAATTTATAAGAATACAAGTCATCCTCCAATCGACAAATGGTCAAAGGATATAAACAAGCAGTTTTCAGATGAGGAAATAAAAGTCATCTATAGGCACACAAATACTCTAAATGATTAGAGAAATACAAATTGAACAACTCTGAGGTACTTCACACCTAAAAGATTTGCTAATATGGCAGAAAAGGAAAATGACAAATATTGGAGTGAATGTGGGAAAATTGAGACACTAAAGCCCTGTTGGTGGAGTTGTGAACTGATCCATTGTTCTGGAGAGCAATTTGGAGTGATGCCCAAAGGGCTACAAAACTGTGCATGTCCTTTGAGCCAGTAGTACTACTACTAGATCTATATCCCAAAGAGATTTTAAAAATGAAAGTGAACTATTTTACAAAAAAATATTTAAAGCAGCTTTTTTTGTGGTAGCAAAGAAGTGGAAATTGAGGGGATGCTTATCAATTGGGAATGACTAAGTAAGTTTTGTTAAATGATTATAATAGAATACTATGTGCCATAAGAAATGATGAGCAGGATGGTTTCAGAAAAACCTGGAAAGACTTACATGAACTGATTCAGAGTGAAGTAAGCAGAACCAGGAGAACATTGTACCCAGTAATAGCAACACTGTGCAATGATCAACTCTGAATGATTTAGCTATTTTCAGCAATACTATCATCCAAGACGATTCCAAAGTAATCATGATTGAAGAATCCTATCCCCTTCCAGAGAAAGAACTAATAAAATCAGAACGCAGATCAAAAGATTCCATTTTTCATATTCTTTATTTTTGGCATGTGGTTTCTTTTGGAATTTAAGTTTTTTAAAAAAGAACGCTAAAATTGTTTTTGCATGCAATTAGAAAAAATAAAATATTATCCAAAATAAAAAATAGAAATAAAGATATCTAGAATAAATGATATTGTTATATGTAAGGGAGGTGTTGAAAAAAAGATGTACTGATATGTTCAAATTTTTACTCTGAGAAGAAAATTTATATCTAAAATGTAAAAGTCATGGGAAAAGTATGTTTTAGAATTTTATATCAGTGATTGCTCTTTCATATTTCACATATGATTTTTGCATAGGTAGGAATTATTAATATGGAAAAGAAAATTAATTATATTAAATTGCTTTGAAAATTATTTTAAATGTCAATCAAGATACAGATAAAGACTAAGATAAGGATAATACTCATGCTTTCATTTTTTGAGGTAATGCCCAGGTGAATAAATTCCTTCTACCAATCAAGAGGTAGAGGTTAGCACCTCTACAACTTAGACTTGGAGAATTGCCTAGAGCACTGAGAGGTTAAGTTATTTGCCGAGGGTCCCTTGACTAGCATGTGTTAAAGGTAGGAGTTGACGCCAGTTCTAAACATCAGTAGAATTGCCATTTTTTACATGTCAATTAACTGCAATACCTAACTTTTTATTTTCCCTGAATCTAATGATAACTTGATTTCTCATAAGGTAAAGTGGATTGAATCTTGGACTTGGAGTCAAAATTTACATTTGAATCCCACTGTTTACACTTACTATGTGACTATGAACATATCGCTGAAATTCCTCTGAGGCTGGATTTCTTCATGTGTAAAATGTACATCCACTTCCTCTGTTTCCTGGCTCTTTTCTAGTCTGTGAAAAGTATCTAATCTTCCCTACTTTTTACTTATGTATTTGTCAATAGATACAACTTTTTTTCCTGAGAGCATTCTATTCTTTTCAAATCAGTATCTGCATTGTGAATCACAAATTAGGAGGCCATTACCTGGGGTATGATTTCATAGTGAGGAAGAAATTTGAGTGGCAGCTAGGTGGTGCAGTAGATAGAGCAGCGGTGCTGGAGTCCGGAGGACCTGAGTTCAAATCCAATCTCAGACCAGACACTTGACAATTACTAGCTGTGCGACCTTAGGCAAGTCACTTAACCTCAATTGCCTCACCCCCAAAGAAAATAAAGAAATTTGAGATTATTGATTCTCTCTTTGCTGACATTTTCTAATCCCCTAAACTACTTTCCTTCGTAAGGTCCATTTTCATTTTCAGCTCCCAAATGTATATGCCAGGATTTTGTTACTGATATTAATGTCAATTAATTATCTCAATTCAATAAATTGACTTTAGAGGAAGTTTTTGGTTTTTTTTTTAATCTGGGCTGAAAGATCTTAAACAAAAGAATAACACTCTTTGGTAGATACATATATTTTTGTGTTTATATACATATTCTATATGTATTCATATGTATATCTATATATCTACATATATATGCATGCATACATATTCACACCTAAATAAATTATGTTCCAATATATCCTTTCATTCCCTTCAATAAGGATTTTTGACAGATTATAGGGATCAGAGAGCTTATTTCTACCAATTCCCTTAGAGTATGGATGAGATCATAGAATCTCATGTCTGTGGTATATTTGTCTGTCTTTTGTACAGGAGAACAGTGTTGAATTTGAAGCCTGCCTGGTAGCCCAATGTGATGCTCTAATTGATGCTCTCAACAGAAGAAAAGCTCAGCTGCTTTCCAGAGTAAACAAGGAACATGAACACAAGCTGAAGGTGAGTACTGAGATCTGAGAAAAGAAAAGAAAGAAAAAAAGTTGGATCTCAGTTTCAACTGGTTGGTTATTTTATCACTGTTCTGAGAGAAGAATTCAGGACACCCTCTGGTTTCCAGAAATAATGAAGCAAAGAAGATATGCACATATGTGATTTATATTCATGCTGGGCAAAACAAAAAATGAACAGAAGAATTTCTTGCTTCCAAGAAAAGTTCAATACTTGCCATAAATATATGTAATTATGTAGCTGATGATTTTGTCTCGTGTTTATGTTACACAGTAGAATTAATAATAGAAAAAGAAAAGTATTTCCTGCATGAGCTTGGGTTCATCCAGAGAGAGAATAAAACTCCAACTTTTTTCACTGCTACTCCTTAAGACTTCTTCCTCCAATGTAAACCTGCAGCTTTTCAAGATACAACTATTTCCGTGGGGTTTATGGAGTGTTCAAGGAGGACTAGAACCTCTGGTGTGAGGGTTTGTTGAGCGCTTTTAAGGGCTGTTCATCCACTTTTGCTCTCTACCTGCCACTCAACTCTTATGTGTGGCTCTAAGAAGCTGTAGCATGTGCAGTGCCCACACCAGGTAAACCACCTCAGTAGATCACCTCAGTGATCTAGGAGGTGTCTACCTCAAGCATGTGAAGACTTCCCCCATTGTAATGGGCAAATGAGAACAATGAAATGAGTCAAACAGGTTGGATGTCATGTTTGCGTCTATCCCTTTATCTCCACTCACATGACCACCACCAAAGTTCAGACCCTCAAGACCTCTCACTTAAACTATTATAATAACCTGATAATTGGTCTTTTTGTCATGGTAGGTAATGTGATCACCAAGAGAGTTTGTTTATAGGAAGAAGAGAAGAGGCCCAGATCAGACCTCTGGGGGATAACCATATTTAGTGGTTATAATTTGAATGAAGGTTCAGAAAAGGAGACTAATAACCACTGTCAGAAGGCAGGAAGAGAACCAAGACAAAATAGTGTCCCAAAAACCTATATAGAAGAGAGTATCAAGGAGAAAAAGGTTATTGACAATTGAGACAAAACACTGGTCCCAGAGTTAGGAAGACCTGTGTTCAAATCCAGCCTCAGATACTAACTAGCTATATGATCTTGGGCAATTCCCTTAACCTGTGTGACTCAGTTAAACCTCAATAAAATGAGAGTAATAATAGTAACCCCCCTCCCAGGGTTGTTGTGAAGATTAAGTAAGATGATATTTGTAAAGCACTTAGCTCAGAGCCTGGCACATAGTAGCCACATATAAATGTTAGCTGATTTATTATTATTATTGCTGTTATTATTATTATTAATGTCTGCAAAGAAATCCAGAGAGATGAATATTGAGAAAAGGCAATTGAATCTGGCAATTAAGAGACCACTGGTAAGTTGAGAGAGAGCAGTTTGGGTTGAATCATAAGGACAGAAGTCAGACTGTAGAGAGTTAAAAGAACAAGAAGACAGGAAGTAGGGGCACTTATAGATGGCCTTCTCAAGGAGTTTAGTCACAAAAGGCAAAAGAGAAATGGGATGATAGCAGGGGTGGAAGGATCAGGTGAGGGTTTTTGAAAATGGAAGAGACATGGGCATGTACGGATGTAACAGAGAGGCAGCCAGCAGACCAGGAGAAATTGAAGATAACTGAGAGAATGGGGATGATACAGGGGACAATCTTCTGGAAAAGATAGGATGGAATAGGGTCACTTGTTCAAGTAAAGGAGTTTGCCTTGGAAAGGAGAAAAGCCATCTCTTTTTGTGAGATGGTTGAAGGAAGAGATAATGATAGAAGGTTTTGGAGGAATAGGAAATGAGGAAGAGTAGAGAAGAGGGAGCTCTCAGCAAATGGTCTTATTTTTCTCCATTAAAATATGAGACAAGGTTCTCAGTTGAGAGTAGGAGGAGGGGGACCCATGGGAGGTTTGTAGAGGTATGAAAAGGTTTGGAACAACAGATGTGGTGAGTGGAATAGTTAGTTTATTAGAGAGGCGTAGGATTGCAAAGCAACAGTGAAGGTCCATTTGAGATTATATAGCATAAATATGTAGTGGGACCAGTTAGAACAGTTGAGTGATTTTCTCCCCCCTTGTTTAGCAAAATAAGTGTACAAGTTAAGGTAGCAGATGGTGGGAATGATCCAAGGCTGAGGCTTAGTAGGGCACATTTTGTGGCAATATGATATGGGGGCACATGACTCAAAAGAAGAGAATGAGTCAAAATGAGGAAAGGAGGAAAATGCAGCTAGCACAGGAATAATAAATAGCTCGGAAGAGAACTGAGAAGTTCATGGACTGGAAATCATGATGTAGACAAAGAGCATGGTTTTATAGAAAATAGAAGGAGAGGTGGAAAGCCAATAGTTGTGATAAAATAAGGGAATTTCAAATTTCCTAAACATGGAGGTGGTGCGTTTGTGGGTGACAGCAACATCAAAGGTATGACCATAATTCCAAACCTTAATTCCATGTGTAGCTGAAATGGCATAGTACAGTTGATCATGGGAAATGAGTATGTTGAAGAACTAAGAGGTTATTGTTTGAGAGAGTATCAATATATATGTTGAAGATCCTCATCTTGAGGTCAGTAGTTGGAAAGGAGAGAAAGAGTATGAGCCAGGTGCTAACCTCATTGAGGAAAAAGGGAGTGTACTAGGTGTTTTGCTATCAGGATTTTGACTGAGTGGGAGATGTGAAATGTATGGACTTCAAAGGAGGAGAGGTAACTGAATGATGGTGGTAAGGGCAGTGGGGAGCAAGGAGTATTCCAACTCCCCTCATCTTGACCAGTGAGTTGAGGGAAATAAGTGAAAATGCCAGTGCTGGAAAGGATGGGCAAGAAGTCTGTATAGCTCCTCTTTTTGTGGTGGCAAAGAATTGGAAATTGAGGGGATGCCCTTCAGTTGTGGAATGGCTGAACAAGTTGTGGTATATGAATATAATGGAATACTATTGTGCTATAAGAAACGATGAGCAGGGGAGTTTCAGGAAAACCTGGAAAGACTTACATGAACTGATGCTGAGTGAAGTGAGCAGAATCTGGAGGACATCATACACAGTAACAGCAACATTATGTGATGACAAACTTTGATAGACTTAGCTCTTCTCAGTAGTACAATAATCTAAGACAATTCCAAAAGACTCATTATGGAAAATGCTATCCATGTCCAGAGAAAGAACTATGGAGGCTGAATGAGATTAAAGTATATGATTTTCTCTGTTTTTTGTAATTTTTTCTTTCTTGTGGTTTTTCCCTTTTGTTCTGATACTTCTTTCATAACATGACTAATGTGACAATATGTTTAATATGATTGTATATCTATAGCCTATATCAGATTGCTTGCTATCTTGGGGAGGGGAAAGAGGGAAGAGGGAGGGAGAAAAAAATTTGGAACTCAAAATTTTACAAAAGTGAATGTTGAAAACTACCTTTACATGTATTCTGAAAAAATAAAATACTATTAAGTGAAAGAAAAAAAAGGAAGTCTGTGTCATTAAGAGGCATATCTCAGTAAGAGTCAGAATATAGAAGGGGAGGGAAAAGAAAAAATTTAAGATGAAAATAAGTTTTTGCCTATGAAACAGACATTCCAGATATCACAGAGGCATAGGTAGATTGAATTTTATTGGGATGTGGATGTGAGCGGGTTGAGGAAGATGGGAATAAGGAATTGTGCAGTGGCAGGTGTATGTTGTGGGAGATGCTTTGCATTGTTTTGGGACATAATGAAACCATCACAATTTCATACACAGAAGCTTCTGAAGAAATTCACCTTCTTCAGGGAATTCTTCAACTTAGATTCTGCACTAGATCTCCGTCACAGTGGCAAGCATGCATCTCCCAGTGTTATGCCTTGTCTGATGTTTATGGTCAAAGGATCATTAAACAGGATTATTTCTATCATTATATCTTTTAAGGGATCTTGAATGAGTTTCAAAGATGGATGGAGGACAATTCTTATTGGAGAAGAGTCTTTCAGGCAGTATTTTGCCCTGTCTTATCAAAATCAACAAACAAGAATAATAGAATTTTGTATTCCTTAGACCTTTCCATAAGTTGCAAGGAAGTGGTCTACAGTGGAATCTGTTTCTTCCCTACTAATACTCGTGACAATAATGCCCTCTATTAATGTGTAGATGACTCACATAAAATTTTTGTATAGGTGAGAACATAGGTATCTAATTGAAAAGTAGATATTTTCCAAGTTTCCCATGGGCGTGTGTGTGTGTGTGTGTGTGTGGTGTGTGTGTGTGAGAGAGAGAGAGAGAGAGAGAGAGAGAGAGAGAGAGAGAGAGAGAAGTAATGATTTATATGGTCTGAATTCTTTCCTGTGTTTTTGGTATCTTCTTCAAATACCTTGTCCCTCAGAACCTTCACAATTGTGGTCACTGGTGCACTAGCACTCTGAGCCTTCCTTCTCCTGCTCAGTGCGGCATGTCTTTGAGGAAAGGCTGCTTAGGACGAGGCCCAGCATCTTCCATTTGCCCCAAAGCAACTACTTCCATCTTTACCCACAAGGCATCTTCCACCTTCTATTCCCAGCCAATCTCCCAACTGGGATGTGAAGAACTTCCAGTGCAAAGAAGAGTAACTCTCCCTTTGACTTCAGGCCTCCCACTTTTACTTTGCCTGTCCTTTGAGGGTATAATGGTGCCCTCCACTCAGTGATAAACATTCACACATTTAGTCACATATTTCACAATCCACTGACTCTGAACTCCTGCAAATCATCATCTCAATCCCACATCATATCCCCTACCACCTGATTCCTCATTCCCATCCCTTTCAACCCTCTCATCTCAAATTTTTTAGCTTGAGTCCACCCAGACTTCCCTCTGGAATGCCTGTTCCATAGGCAACATACTTCTGTTCATCTTAAATCTATTTCTCTGCCACTCCTTTCACCAACTAGTTCATACTAAAACTTGATTTTGCTCTGATTACACAGACTCTCTGGCCATCCTTTTGAGTACTGGCTGGATCTTCACTCATTTTCCTT